GCCACCATGCTGGTTCTATTAAAATTCATTTAAAAAAATTTACAAACAAAATTATTGTAAAGTGAAATATGTTTAAAAAAAAAGTCCCGCTGGGTTTCTTGCTAGTTCTTCCTAGGACAGAGTTATTTTCAGAATCACTGGTGAATAAAAAAATGACTTTCAATAAGTATTATGTAATAATCAACATTGAATAAAAAACCATTCTATTCTGAGAGGGCTGCACTGATAATTTCGGGAATCAAGGAAGTGACACAACATTACTATTTAAAAATGTATTTATTGCTTTTCGAAGTATTCTCCGCGAAATTTGACACATTTCTCCATACGATGGAACCAATCATTGAGCAACCATTCCATTCGGAAGTTGGGGTCTCCAAAATAGCCGTTTTGAAGGCATCCACAGCTTCTTCAGATGATGAAAATCTCTGTCCACGCAATTTATTCTTTATTTTAGGGAAAGTATAGAAATCATTAGGGCTTAGGTCGGGGCTGTACGGCGGATGGTCTAATAATTCTATGTTTTCTTGCTCTAAAAACTCTTGTTCTATGTGCGGTGTGAGAACTCGCACCAGTCGTGATGGAGGATAATGCGGCGGTTACAGTTCTCTTTACGGAGTTCAGAAACGACCTGTGGAAAACAAATGCTAGCATACCATTCTGCATTAACCGTTCTTTGTCCCTCAAGCGGAATAGTCGTAACATGGCCGGTTTTGGAGACAAACGTGGACACCATTTTTTTTTGCAACACTCCGTGAACGAACAATTTTTTTGGCTTTAACTCATTTTCGAACACCCAAACTCGTGACTGGTTTTGTGTTTCGGGTTCGTACGCCTATATCCAGGATTCGTCACCTGATACGATGTTGTATACAGATCCTGCGTGAAATCTTTCGACAGTTCTGACGCACCAAGTAATGCGACCAGCTTTTTGCTCTTCACAGAGCGAATGCGGTATCCATCGGGAAAACAACTTTTTTACACCTAATTGTTCACGCAAGATTATTTGTATTTGACTCATGCCAATGTCTAAAGTTGCCTGAATTTCGCGGTATGTCACATGTCGATCTTCCTCAATCAGCTTACGCACAGCATCAACGTTTTCTTGGGTGACTGCAGTTTTGGACGACCTTGACGGGGATCATCACTGAGCTTGATACGTCCACGTTGAAATTCAGCAAACCAGCGATAAATTGTGGTTTTGGCCCATCCAAATGCAGAAATCATCCGGTCAACACTGTTTTTGTGTTAAACTACTTCGAAAGTCATAATAAATCATCGCTCTTGAATTTTCTCGAGTCAATTCCATTTTCTCAACGACTAAACAAGTATTACAAAACCTTGTGACAAGACCGAGAATCTTTTTTTAAATAAATAAATGGTATTCGATTCGAGTTTTCAATTAAAAAGATTTTAATATGACAAGAACAGTGGAAATATTCCATTCCCGATACCTTTAGTGCAGCCCTCGTATGATAGATCCGCAATAACAACTGTAATACCGCACTGCAGACGTTAGAGTGTAGACTACGAATTTGTTATATCACGTTACCAAAGAGCTACTGGTACTTCTTCAAATCTAAATATTTTTTCAATTGTTGTTTCTTTTAGCCTGTTCTAATAACTTTCACTGTCATCATACGAGGGTGGATTGAAAAGTACTCGGCCTAACACAGATCCATTCAATTCTAAAAATCAAATCTACCCACATTATTTAGTTCAGTTCAAACTAGTTTATTGTGTGAAGTTCGAAACGTGTGCGATAATTAGTTGTGATTTTATAAATTTATTAACAAAGTAATCGGACATAATTTCCGCGAATGGAGCAAATCGAGCAGCGTGCCGTCATTAAGTACCTCCATAAGAAGGGGCTATCATCAAAAGCCATCCATGATGACATGGTCAGTACATTAGGCGATTGTGCTCTGTCATATTCATCCGTCAAAAAATGGATAGCAGAATTTAAGCGTGGTAGAGAGAGTGTGAAAGATGAACCCCGCTCTGGAAGGCCTTCGACGTCAACTACTGACGAAAATATTAAAAAAGTACTTGATTTAATAATGGGAGACCGCAGATTAAAAATTAGAGAGATAGCCGAGATTATAGGCATCTCTTATGAACGAACTCAAAACATCATTGTCAACGAGTTGGGTTTCCACAAGGTGTCTGCGAGGTGGGTTCCGCGACTGCTTTCAGTTGAACAAAAAAGGACGCGATTGACTATTTCACGCGACTGTTTGGATTTATTTGAAGCCGATGCAGATAATTTTTTGAATCTTTTTGTTACTATGGACGAAACATGGGTTCATTACTGTACACCGGAAACAAAACAACAATCAAAACAGTGGAGAAGACCTGGTTCACCACCCCCTAAAAAGGCTAAGTCGATTTTGTCGGCAAATAAGGTGATGGCTTCAGTATTCTGGGACTCGAAAGGTGTGATTATGGTTGATTATCTTGAAAGGGGTCAGACTATAAACTCTGATTACTACTGCACCTTACTACGTCATTTACGAGAGGAAATAAAAGGAAAACGTCGAAGAATGCTCAGAAGAAAAGTCCTGTTTCAGCAAGATAACGCCCGTGTTCACACGTCAGTACAGTCATAGGCTGAAATTCACAACTGTGGCTTTGAACTGTTACCGCATCCGCCGTATTCACCTGATCTGGCACCATCAGACTTCTTTCTGTTCCCTAACCTAAAAAAGCACTCTGGAGGTCAAAGATTTTCGACAAACGACGAGGTCAAAGCAGCTGTAGCCGCATATTTTGACTCTAAGGAAGAATCATTTTTTTTCAACGGTCTAAATGCTTGGAAGGGGAGGTGGCAAAAGTGTATTGAACTTGATGGTGATTATGTAGAAAAATAAAAATATAACTGATTTAGTATGTGTTTATTTTCTTGGTTAGGCCGAGTACTTTTCAATCCACCCTCGTAGTATAATAATTGTTAGTGCATACTTACTACACACAATATTAATTAATGCTGCTCTAAAAATGGGTTAATGGGAAAGGTATTCACTTGTGAAAAACATCTACAGCTATCTTCGATGAATGATAAAATGAAGATGCGTTATCACCTCTTAAGTATTAAGATAGAATGTTACCAATAAAAAGGGTCTTAGTTCTCTACACTTATCATACCAGGTGCTGTTTTAAGCTAGTATTCTGTACCAGTATCCTTCCCTGGTTGAGTCGACAGCGTTACTCTACAACGTGTACATTACATACATATATATATATATATATATATATATATATATATATATATATACGGCACAGTGAGAAGGATGTGTTATAATAAAAAGTATTTTGAATAGCCAATTGCACAATATTAAAAATATTGAAAACGATGGAACTTAAGCGTGAACATTTGCGGGCTATGATCTATTATGATTTTAAATTAGGTTTAACCGAACAATTACGTTTACAACAATTACAATCAGCATTAGAGGACTCAGCTCCATCACGCGCAACTATTTTTAGGTGGTTTGCTGAATTCAAAAGGGGTAAAATTAACGTTAAAGATGATCAAAGAACCGGGGCCCCGCAAACAGCAGTAACGGCAGAAAATGTATGGACTACTGAAATGTTGGTGCGAGAAGACCCACGAATCACATATACGGACATCGAAAAAATTGTAGGCATTAGTTCGGGGAGCATTAATACCATCTCCTTCATCAACATCTTGTAATGAGGAAGCTTTGTTGTCGATGGATCTCTCGTTTGCTCTCCGAAAGCGAAAAACAGCCTCGTGTGGATTGGTGTCATGAAATGCGTTTACGTTTTGAAAACGGGGCATCTAGGCATGTTTTAGAAATCGTTACTGGTGACAAGACATGGATCTATCAATATGAACCGGAAAATAAAAGACAATCATCGATTTGGGTCTACTCAGAAGGACAGTAACCGACAAAACTGCAAAGACCTTGCAAAGTCGGTAAAAAATAGTGGCTAGTTTTTTGCGCGGAGTGGACATTTGTCGACGTCAATGCTGGAAAGTTGTAGGTCAGTCTACTCTGACTGGTATACTACAGTTGCATTACCCAAAATTTTTCAAGGCGTGCGAGAGAGAAAACCAAAGACCGGGCTTCGGGTAATCATGCTGCATCACGATAACAAAATAAAAATAACTCTTCACATACCTCCCTTAGAACAGAAGCATTTATTGAGGAATCTGGTGTTGAAACTCTTACGTCACCCACCCTACAGCCCTGACTTAGGTTCTTGTGATTTCGATTTTGTTCCCAAGAGTCAAAGAAAAAATAAAACGCACGTTTTTTTCAAACGCGGAAGAAGGTTGGAGAAGTGAGACCTGTAGAGAGAGTGTTTCAGAGTTGGTTTAGGCGAATGGAACTTTGTATAGAGCATGATGGAGATATTTTGAAAAGATGTAAAACAAATATTAATAGTATCTAGAATACTTTTTGTATATCTCAAAACTTATTAAGTGTCCCGCGTATATATATATATATATAAATATATATATATATATATATATATATATATATATATATATATATATATATATATATATATTATAGCCATACTCACATCACTACTGGTGCGAAAGTTAGGAGTTTTTACAAATAATATCGCAAGTCTCTTCGTAGGCGAACTTGTCGAAATTTTTATAGTGCGGTAAAGCGTGCAGCTATATTTTGGTTTTAGCACGCATTTTACCAGCTTTAAACGGCAACTTAATGCTGTTGTGTTTTTTATGGTAAGTATAGAGAACCGAAGATCCTTTTTACTGGAAACGTGGCATTCCATCTTAGCACCCAGAGGTTGACAACGTATCTGTATTTTGATTCTTAATCGAGGATAGATGGTTATGTCTGTAGGCCACAGCGTATATTTACAATCAGGTGGACTGTGTGCTCGTAGGTCACCCTCATTCTATAAAAAATACTCAACAACACTCGAGGGAAAAAACGTGTAATAGATTCTTCATGCGGTCACATTACGTAAATTATATATTTATTAAAATGGCTGGAACTCACCTCCAACCTCCAGTGTGGTCCTTGGGGCTCTTAAACAAATGATGTAAGTCGGTTCTTGCGCTAATTAGGTTGAAAACCCACTCCTCTTGCCCTGTTCCGTTTATTAAACATTACTTAAAATAACAAAACTAAAGTAAGGGCCTGTAAAAATCCCCACGCAGGGAACAGATTTCACATTTCTAGAAAATAATAGAGAGGCCTTATAGTTAGACGAAGCGATATCCGATGAAGAGGAAAGGTACTGTTAAGCGGTGTAGGACGGTCCCCAACTAGGTGAGGAGACGGCCTGATAAAACGTGCAAGAAATCGATGGATGCAGGCTGCGAACCGTTTGCTTTATGGCATTATTTGGAGGAGGCCTATGTTCAGCAGAGGACTTGTGAAGGTCCATCACACTGCTCTAGAGGAGATAAGCGAAAATTTTCTAATAACTATTACTATATACGATAGCTCAGAGACCAAGGAGACCGCCTCAAATTTTATAGAACAATTTCGGCTTAGTAGCGCAATTACCTAAACAAATGGCTGCAGAGCTACGGGGTGCTACTTGAAATCCTAAACAGGATAAGTATTTATATGTATATATTTTACGTGGTAGAGCCACGCTGCAGTTATCTAGTCGGCTCGACCGAGGTAGAACGAGGCTCTCACAGAATACGAGCGTAAAATAGCAGCTTGCAATGCTGTTGTGTTTCGAATGGTGAGTGTAGAGAACCAGATACTCTTTTTACTGGTAAAGTCTATCTTAGTTCTCACTGTTGACAACGTATCTGCATTTTAGATTATGAATTGAATATAGATGTCTTTGAGCTACAGCATCCGCTTACTATTAAGTTAATGGTGTGCTCGTTTGTTACCTTAATCTATAAAAAAAAGGAAAAAGTAAGCTTTAAGGATAGGATTTATTGCATTCTATCCCAGGAAACGTTTGACATAGGCGCCACATTTGGCAAGCTGAATTACGACCACAGTTGATACCAGATGTCACGTCCTTTTAATGTTGATTCCTGTCACAGGTCTGGTGACTTACATCTGACATGTACACGGCACAAAATAGCGCTATCTATTAGATGGTTGTTGTTTGTCACACGCACACACACGCGCACGCACACGCGCACTCACATACGCACACACACACACACACACACACACACACACACACACCCCCCCCCACACACCACACGCACGCACGCACGCATGCACACACACACACACACACACACACACGCACGCACGCACGCACGCACGCACACATACGCACGCACGCACGCACACACACACGCACACATGCACAAAAACATAGTGACATCGTCGTAGGGAAAGTCAGAATAGCTTCCTAGAACCTGAAAACTAGAGTCTAGATGACAGACTGAAGTCTAGATCTGATGAAAATCGATTTTAGAAAACTCTTCTCGATTTTTTGAAAATCATTGATTTTCATAGCGGGAAGTTAAAAAGCGAACAGATGCCTACATAGTTTATAGAAGATATAAATTATGAACGCACATTAAAGAATAAATACTCACAATCAACAAGCGGATTCAAGCTGCCTTCCCCCAAATAAAGCTCGAAAAGCGTATAGTAAACCCAACTCTTGTTATTAGTCGCTTTGGCTTTTTGGTATTCCTGGTGAAAAAAATAAAACATTTTCATTTATATAACATTTTACAACGCTGATAACATTGGTGGCGTAAATGAATTCATAAGCTCATTTCGCTTCGTAGGTGTCGGTAAAAGGCGACTATCGCGAACTCCAGGAAGTATTCATGCAGTGGCGTAGCGTGGGCGGTGCCGGGAGGGTCATTGCCCTGGGCGGCATGCCGGGGCGGCGGCTAGCGCCACGATTTTTTCAATAAAATTAACTCCAAACTGCGCCCGTAATGTTACGTGCCAATGGAAACCGCAAGGGTGCGTAAGAGAGGAGGCGAGATGAAGTCGAATACTGCTAAAGTGCTAGCGACAACCACACGGCGCCCGGCTGGCCAGCACTGCGGCGGCAAACTGACGCGAACGAACCAATAAGCGACAGCGAGTACTCAGTTATTCAATCAAACAAAATAATTCGTGCTGAACATAGGCCCAAGGAATGCCACAAAGCACGTTCCCAAGCCACCCGCATCCATCGACTTCCTGCATGTCTTACTAGGTCGTCACTCCAACTAGTATAAAGACTATATCTTCGGCAAATCGAAGATGAGTGATGTGCTCGCCATTGACGTAAATATCGTATCCTTTTCAGTCCAGTTGCTTGTACGTCTTTCAATCCAGCGGTGAAGAGTTTCGGGGATATTATGTTACCTTGTCTTACACCTTTCTGCAGTTGGATAGGTTTCGTACTCTGGTTTTGCACTCAGATAGCTATCGTTGTCCTACTGTACAAACACTTCAGCACTTCAATATGCCGACAGTCAACTGGCACCACTGAATGGATTGCAGCACTGTCGAAATTTAGACGTAATCAAAGGTTTTCTCATAGTCCATATACTCAAGACAAAGTGGCAGATTGTACTCTATATATATATATATGTGTGTGTGTGTTTTTAAGCAATGAAAAACTGCTACAACATCGTTAGAATAAAAAAATGGGATATCAGGCGGTCACGAAATCGTAGTGCCCTGGTTCGAGTCCTGTCTTCAGTCCGACTTTTTTCGTTTTTTTTCAAGTTCCCTTCTTTTTTGAGAAAATCTATTATTTCGAGCCTTTTTTTAGTATTTTTTTAAACACAAATTTTAATTAAACTAATTTCACTATGATTTTTATTAAAATAAGCAGTTCAGTTTTTTCTATTATGTCGGTAAGATCAAAAAATATTAGGTCATATTTCATCAGTATGTAATTTGCATCTAAATATAATTTCCAAAACACACGATTTAAAAAAAGCGTTGCAGCTGCAACAGACCCAGACTGTAAAAAGGGCTTATTAAGTCCGGCTCTCTGGGTTATATAAAAATATGTAATTGAGTCCAAACTTGAAGATGGCTTACCAAATATTGTCACAATTAAAATAATAAAAATTAAAATAAAATTAAAAATAATGCTGAAGACTTTTTCAACATTTGCCGTTAGTAATGCAAGTTGCGAGATGAACTTTTTTAAACTAAAGTTAATAAATAATTATCTGAGATCGACTGCGTCAACGTTGATACTTCCAAATTTAGCTGTTCTGGAAATGGAACATGACATAATATATTGTGATATTGACGGTTGTGTTAAAGATTTTGCTTTGAAAAAAATTTAAAAATAATAGTGCAGAAATAATTAATAATACTAGACATACTGTAACATAAATATATTATTCCATCCAAGTTGATATTGATTGCTGTTTGTTAAGAGAACGTTGATAACCGCTATGAGTAGTCACTTTTGGCGGTAATTAACGATTCTCTTAATTTGTCAAATTCAAAATAACGAAAAGTGATCCCAATAATACTACAGATAATTTACTGAATCAATTTACTTTTAGATTTTTTAAATTTTATCTGATTTAGGAGTAAAGAAATAAAATGATGTGTGGCGCTCTTAAGTATAATTATAACTAAGTATGCTTTTTTGCATTACCTGTAAAGGTTGCTAAGTGTTGAGCACTACGTATAATTTAAAATACAATTGTACATTCATTTTTATCATTATTATTATTATTATTAATTGTACCCAGTGTTAAAGTTAGTAATGTTATGCCTTGTAAACAATCTGACATTTTAAAAGATAAACTTCCTGTGGGTTTCTTGCGCCATTTCTTCCCATAGATGTAAGATCCTTCCGAATCAGTGGTAGATTATATTGACTTGCAATGAGTTGTACGATCTATACTAATTCCATTGAATAAAATATTAAAACTTTAAATCAAAAAAATAAAGGGGGGGGGGTTAATTTCCAGGCGGCCCCGGTCGGCGAAAATCCACGCTACGCCACTGTGATCATGGCTTCCAAAAGATGAGGTTTCATCATCATTATCATTACAGCCTTTTACAAGTCCACTGCTGAACATAAGCCTCTTCCAAGGAATGCTACAAAGGACGGTCCTGAGCGACCTGCAACGACGTCCTGCATGTTTTACTAGGTCGTCACTCCATCTAGTGCCGGGTCATCCTACGCTTCGCCTACCGGTACGAGGCTGCCACTCAAGAACCTTTTTTCACCATCAGTTGTAGGTTCTTAAAGCTATATGGCCGGCCCATTGCCATTACAGCTTACTAATCCGTTGGAGTGTCGGTCACTCTGGTTCTACTGCGGATATCCTCATTTCTAAGTTTATCTATATAACGCAGAGTAACTCCAAGCATAGCCCTGTCCATAGCTGGGTAACAGTGAAGGACAATGTCTCAGATCGATAAGTCATCACTGGCAACACGCACTATTGTTTACAATTTCGTTTCTAGGGTTCCGTACCCGAAGCGTAACCAACGCGACCATATTACTAAGCCTCCGCTGTCTCTCCGTCCGCCTGTCTGTCACCGGGCTGTATCTCATGATCCGTAATAGGTAGACAGTTGAAATTTCACAGAATTTGTACTTCTGTTGCCGCTATAACAACAAATAATAAAATAAATAAAAATAAATTGCTCGATCTTAATAATGACTACAAGTAGACGCTTGAAATGCTCAGAATTTGTATTGCTATATTCGCAAAAAAAAGTTATAATGATGTTGCACGCCATAATTAAAATCACTAGCGCCATCTAGTATCGAGTAGCAGAACTAGGAGAGCTTTCTAGAAAATTCCACACCTATATAATTTCTACACCTAGTCGGTCGGGACCGGTATGTACTCCAACATTCTAAATGTTTCAGTAGAAAAGGTCCTATAGACGTATTGACCGAGACCCGAGTCTGTATTGAATTGGCGATTCATGCGAATACTTCGAAGCGATATAACTGCAAACTAAAGTGATTAATTATGAATGTGTTTTAAGTAATAATTGGTGTTCGGTAATTAAAGTGTCAATTTTGGTAATTCAATCGGCAGTTTTTATTGTCACGAACCCCAAGCTCGTTACCATAAAATAAAATTTATTTCAAAAGTACCTACATAGTATAAATACTTCATTTAAGGAATGTTACCGTTTCGACATCAAAGTGTGGATAATGTTGTTGAAGATTATTAAGTTTGAAATGCTTTACGATATAATAATAAGAAATATGCATGATTGTTTTATTGTATAAATCTATTTATTACAACTCCCATTACATCAAAAAAATCATTTAAATTTTATAGGTAATTTTAGTGTCATGAAATAAAATATTTAAAAATCTAATAACTAAGAATCAATTCAAACAGCAGTCACATTGGTGGCATCTTGGATGAAGTCACTCAGTCCATTAGACGCTATAATAATAGCATATGATTGGTCGGTCGGCGTCGAAGGCAAATCGGGACACGTCAAACCCAATAAGAAAACGAAAAATGTGTTTGCAATTTTTCCTTTTACAAAAATACACTTGAAATCCAACATATTTTAGGAAAGCAATCAACTTAAAAGTTACACCCACTTGTCGATCTCCTCAATTTCAGGGCACTTCTCTTGTTGCCGCAGTCAGTATCGAAATCTTTGGCGGCGACATATCGAATGACCTGTAGTGTCTTGGAAGAGAAAGCTAAATTGGCTTCTAAAAAGCTTAGAGTACTCACTAGAGCGGGATAGAATTTCATGCAGACACACCGTTTGCAACTTTACAAGGCGCAGTCTCACACAGCCTCACATGGAATTCTATTCTCATCTCTGGGCCGGGGCTTCCACTTGACTGCACAAAGCGCAGAGCGAATCGAATCTAAGACGACTTAGTTCGCTTTGACTGGCTCGATTCACTGGCGCTGCATAGAGATGATGCATCCCTTTGCGTTTTCTCTTACATTTACCACGGGGAGAGCTCTGAGGAATTGTTCGGATTAATTCCAGCCACCAAATTTTACCAATACACATCGCATCACAAAATTAACTTAACCATCCGTATCATTTGAACGCTTAGCGGTCCACTAACGTGCGATTTATTAGGTGTTTTCTTCCTCGTAGGAATACTTTTTGGAGTAGTTTACCATCGACGATTTTGACGGATCGATACGACTTTGGAACCTTCAAGAAACGGGCTTACTCTTTTTTAAAAGGCCGGCAACGCATTTGCTAATTTCCCGTAGTTGTACAATTGTATTAAAATATTTAAAAAATGTCTATCTTGTTGACTGGTTGCACTGGCTGACAGAGACATTTCACGTTAAAAACAACGACCGTGTGGCTCGACACAGACCCACCCGATTTTTTTATTGGTATGGTTACAGTATCGTTTACTGTTTCACATGTCGTCAATCACTAACTCATTTGGTAAATAAATAGTGAAGTTACTGGATAACAGAGGGCGGTTATTACAATAGTGATAAACGTTCTAGAAGAATCTACCAGAACTAATAAAATTTAAAAATTATTGGGAAAATATACATTATACTTATGATAATAAACCGACCGGTATATTTTCTTTAAAAATATTTTTTACGCATGCGTCTTGACCTTTTGATGATGTCACTAAGATTAAATGGCATAAATCCGAAATATATCCTATAGGCTATAGGACAAACATACTCACTTTCTTTGGTCACGTGTCTAGACGTAATGATATCTCGATTGAACGTCTAGTGGTCCAGGGAAGAGTAGAGGGCACTAGAGCGCGTGGCAGATCGCCTATGAGATGGACAGACCAGGTGAGGGCTGCGGTGGATGTCCCGTTGCATGAGTGCACAAGAAAGGCAGCTGTTAGGGAGGAGTGGAGGCGTATTGTAGAGCGGGCCACAACACCCAAGTGACGACCACGACCGCTCTGTCAAGAGCGTATCGACTGAGAAGAAGAAGATAGGACAAAAGTAACACTACTACTACTTAAATGTATCTATATCGTGTCTTTGGTTCTCTTCTTTCTTGGTCCTTGTCTATGAAATGTCGTTTCTTAAGACTGGCTAGTTTGAAATTCGAAATTTGGATTTGACTTAGAAATTCAAATTCAAATTAGCGTAAAGCTATATAATAGAAGCTATTGAAGTGTATTTTTGTTTTTTCGTCATAGTTAAAACATTCGCATCACGCAGGATGACTAAAATATTTTTTTGATTTATTCACTTAACTCACCGAATACGTCGATGCCCATTTCTTGCAGATCTCTCTGCCGGTTAATGTCCTGGGAAACTCGTATTCCTCTATCATTATCGCCAGAAGATCGCTGTAGGTAGCAATATCAAATTATTTTTTTTTCAAAATACATACGATATTATGAAAAACTTAAAACTTACTTCCAAGCCCATTTCTTTTCTCTAAACAGCCAGTCGTTTTGCAATCGTATCTGTATGAAACTTTCCGTGATGTCCTTAGACCCTAAAAATAAAATAAAATTTGTTGTTATGTGTACATTCATCGAAACTAAAATAAGCTTATAAAAATCGAATTAAGACACAAAACTACATTCAACAAACACTGATATAACGGCAGTGCAATGTAGGGAGCGACCTGCGATGCTTTTTCAATTCAATGACCGACACGACACCGACATATGATTGTCTGATGGCGTAAAAGGAACTGTTAGCGATAGTCATTAAGGACGCATTATGCACGGTTCGTGTGCGTCACGTGCGTACGTGTGGGGTTCACTTCTAGACAGGCTTTTATTTTGCAGTGGACTTTAACAGCCTGACAGAAGTAGTTAGTGTACCTATGGGCATTATAAGCAGGCGTTGATGCGTCAGTTCTCGGCAGCTTGAAGAGAATAATATCATTACTCACTACGGCACAAACACATTAAATCATTCTCCATTTTTTTATAGAATAGGAGTAACAAGCTAGAACAAAGTACACCTGATGGTTAGTGGATATTCTGGCCCTAAAACCTCTACATCTATCCCCGATTAAAAATCAAAATGCAAATGCGTTTTCACCCCTGACTATGCCTTGTTTCCAGTAAAAAGGGTCTCCGGTTCTCTACACTCACCATACGAAACACAAACACACACATACATTATTCTACTGTTTCACACTGGCATTGTGTGATTCGTAGTCCTACCCCGAGTCGACTCATTCGCGCTGCAACCATAATATAGCTGCAGCGTAGCTCTATCACGTAAAAAATCTGTAGAATCGAAAATATATGAATAAGATGATATAATTGTAAAGACTATGCTAGGATAACTCATTTCCATAAAAGAACAATAACATTAAAATGCATACATTGAAATTCTTCTCCACAATTCTCTTTCTGATCCTTGTTATTATTAAAATAACTGCTGGGCTTTCTTTGTCTACTTATGTATTTATAAGGTGACTCCGTCTCCAACTTGACCAACAATTCAGGTTCGAACTTCCGGTAATAATTCAACACGGCCTCGTATAGAGGCCACTCGGAAATTTCGGAACCTTTTCTCAAGTTTTGTCTGTGTTTTCGCTGTAAAAAAGTGTAAATTGGTTTTATTTTAAACATTAATATGAATAATTAAACAGAGATGTAAGTTATGTCAACATTTTCTCTACAATTTTAGCAAAAATTCACATTTCCTTAAAATTATTTTATTAGCCTTTGACTTGACTTTCCATGTAGGTTTACACAGAAATTAAAAAAAAATTACTAATTGATATACTCAGAAAAACTAACCAAAAGTTAGAAATTTGGATTTTGGGAAATTTGGGACGTAGTCCGCTTCGCTGGGCGTTAAGTATATTCCATGACATGCTCGACTTTTTTTATTTTTACTAAATTACATTTAAATTCGGCAACTCGTTTAAGCGCAATTAAAGGACAAATGTCTAAGCAAACCTATGATATATATGTTATGTCATGTCATTACTGACTAATACCCGCTCGCTTCCCTAGGTCTATAAAATATATAAATTGCCCTCTACCCACCCAAATTTTAAAGCGTTAAAAAGTATCATATACCCTTTTCCATTAGGATGTTATAATTGTGTAATAAATGAAAATAAATTAGTATAATGTGACTCCTACGTTTTATGCCAAATTTCATCAAATAGGAATAGGATACATGTAAAATTAAGTTTATTAACCTAATTTTACTTATTATTAAAACATAAAGGAGGTTATATCTATCCTCTAAAGAACTAGTAGCTCTATAAAAGTTAGCGGTTTTAAAGATAAAACTTAATAACTTAAAACGTAATTTAAGGTAGACTAAAATGAATTAACATTTTATACAAAACTTGGTACTTACATTAAATGTAGTACGTATGTGATGCCACAAGCCCTTTAGGTCCTGAATACAACAATCGCTAGGTAAATCTAGCATACGCATTGACTTTTCCACGGCCCTGAAATACAAATTAAAAATAATACATAAAGAAGAAGACTCTAAATTTAATTACTTTATGCATTAGGACTTGTGGCATGTTTAAACTTACCTCCACATTTTTTGAAAGTCCAATTTTAGGTCTTTTGCTTCTGATATAGAATATACCAATTTAAGTCGCAAGTCATCACTCCCTATTTAAATTAATAAGCAAATTAGTAATTATTAACTTGAACGATCAAAGAAATCTCACAAATCCACTTGATGGTATACTATTATCCTCCACCCTTACCGTTACAGCTAATCAAAAGTCCACCTAGTTTGCCTCATATGGAGGATATTTGCCATGATTGCCACGTTCGGTAGGCGAGTTTGCAGCAGCAGTTTTGCACGCCTTACAACGTGAGGGAGTGCTCCACTCTTGATATGTGGCCATACCTAAATTTCGCCACATAAAATCGTCCTCTTACTCTCAAACCCATATTATTATTAACGTTACAATAACTACAGACATTAGGACTAGTTTATTTTCTAATTAATTCACTTTAGATTACATATCAAAAAATGTAATTGAAAAAATATATGGACTGCCGTCCGTTGATCCGTTCGTCAATGAGTCTTCTCACTTAATAGAAATGTAAGCAATAGACTGAGATATATAGTATTAAATAATTCCCTATATTCTAAGGAGGATGCCTATTGATTTTTGCTATAGAACTCAACACCGTTCAAACGTTATTAATGAAAGTCGATCAGATTGTTTTTTTTTTTTAAATTTTCGCCAATATTATCATCTCTTTTAATTTTAATTTTTAACATAAGCGTGTGAGGCGTGCACTTTTGGATTTTCCAAATATTTTTTTTATTTTTGAAGTGAAAACTTCTTTAGCGGCGTTGTACAATTTTTTTGTAATGGGTAAAAAATGTTAAACTCGCGTCAGGACCCGTGACCTGATCGAAAATTCGTAAGACGAAGATAAACTTTTTAATGTAATATAAATTGTTATGTTTGTGTACGATAGCGCAATAAATAAAGTATTCTATCACATAAATGATAGTACTTTTATACTGATAATTAAAGCAATTCGTGCAAAGTTATTCCCCAACTATTCCAAAATATCAAAACTGCACAACGTTAATATTCAAGTTTTCACTTCTGCCGGCACTCCCGGAGTGCAACCCGTCGTTTTTTTTTTTAGTTATTATTAGTAAGGTGCTTCTGCCCATCTAGTTTGCTTATCTTTGTAATCTCAATTTAAGTCTAGTAAAGTGTATAAAATCCACTACCCGATATCGTACGTTGTAATAGGCGATAGAGGGAAACAAATTACCACCCCATTGGACACCTTTAATTAATTTCAAACAAGGAAGGTTATGGGTGCGTTTCCGACTAAGATGGAATGCCTCATAGCCTTTAATCATATAGAGCTCTCAGTGGATGCTCTGCTGCACAGATTATAAAAATTAATCTGGACACAAAGACAATATTAATATTAAAGAGTACTTTTCAATTTCAAGTAAAAATACGTTATACAGTTTAGGCTAATTTTATGCTCATGAATTCATTTATGCTTATGAATGTGTAAATCAACCATTTTTTGAAACGTTAGATCTTTACAGAAAATATACAACGACAAATTTTGCGGTCATGGCTTTCCTTATAAACCTATATAACAATAATAATTGATAATAGTCACTGAATTATAATTTTATTGATTACGATGATTAATTTTTGAAAATTTTGTATGTTTCCATACTATCATTAAAATATTAAATCTCATATGATACTTTGCATTTATTTAAAAAAAATAACATCAGACCCATATACATGAAAGGTGATGATTTTTTATATAGAATAAAAGTGACAAACGAGCACACAGTCCACCTGATGGTAACCAGATACTGTGGACCATAGATATCTACATCAATTATTCTCGAGTAAGAATCAAAATGCGGATGCGTTGTAAATTTCGAGGTCTAAGAGTTTTCTGTGTTCTACGCTGATGGAATGTCAAGTAAGCGAGGTCCTCCCCTAATCGGGCCGACCCGTTCGTACTATTAACATAATATCGCTGCAGCATAGCTCTATATATACTAACTTACCTAACTACTTTACTATTAACTCATTATTAACTTTCGTATCTTATAATGAATAGTGGGTCGCGCATCCAGTAAAAAAATCTCGCAAAAGACTTTTGCCTACTTCCGAGTCCAATAGATAGCGACGTCAACGGTAACAATAGTGTAAGACTTCTGATACTGCGACCGCTAGTCGATATGATTTGCAGCAACCGCCACGCAGTCAACAACAAATCACGTCACGGGTGAGGCTCATGTCTAGCAGTGGAGAGGAAATGTAGTAAGCCTTTCGCTGTCCCGTGCACTGCATATAGGTCATTGCTATTGTCTTACTATTGTGTCTAAAGACCGATTCACACTTCGACAAGTACAGTAGCGAGTTAACTTGCAAACCTGGCGAGTTACGTTTGAACCTCGTTTGAACGGCAATAAGCGAGGTAAGTAGCAAGTTAAAGATTAAGTTGAACGGGATAACCGGCCGAGCTATTTTTCGGCGAGTTAAGTGCGAAGTGCTGCCCTCCCGCGCGTCTTCCGCCACCCGCAACTAAACTCGCCGTTCGTGTAAACGAGCGAGTTTAGTTCAGTGCATAAGTTGACAGGACGCAACGTTTGCGCGCCAAAACGTACAATTGTACTTTTATAACTCGCCACAAAGTTTTTACGATTATTAATATCTTATTTATAATATTAGAAAATATTTATACGATTTATATGGAGTTTTAATAATAGAATAGACGGAATATATCACGCTTAAATTTGTAAAGGAGCATTTAGAACACGAATGTTTAATATAATAGTAGAAATTCATGTTGTAAAATTAAACCTGCTCGAGATGCTGCAATCATGAAAATTCTTAAAAACTTCTTTAACAACAACCATTAATACTTTTCTGACTGGATCATTTAATTCTTGACATAATCCTATAGTTCATAAAAGATAGCTTGATCTCTGCGACAGCTGTCAGTAAAATCACGCCTATGAAGTCCTGAATTTCTTAGTAGTACAGACAGTACCTGTCAATGTCATACTTTATGGGCATGCCGATCTATAGGCCGAACCATAGAACCATCTTAAACGAAAACCAGAAAAATTCTGTAATCTTGAAACGTCATAACTCCAACGAACTCTATGAACTAAAATGTCCCTAACTCGCCACGAAGACATTGTTTGAAGTTTGAACGCTACTGTCCACTTAACCGTTAACCGTCAACTGCCCTGTAACTAAACTCGCTACTGTACTTGTCGAAGTGTAAATCGGTCTTAAAAATCGGACAGTGAAAGTTTTAAGTCCTTGTCTTTTAAATAATCGACAATTTTATAATTAGAGTTATAATCAATCAAGATATCTTTAACTTGTCTTTCGAATGCTCTTTAAAATTCCCTTGAATTGTACTGTATGCTTTCTATTTTGGCTAACGTAATAACACCCGGGAAGTTACAGAATGTTTATTTCTTTGAATATTTCTTGCATGAATCTACAGTCTTTTATAATAAATTTCTTGTTACAGTGTCATTTTTGCAATATAGTTTAAATAGAGCTTGTAAAGCGATACTGTGCAAACATTTTGATTTTAATAACGTAGTTTCAATTCGCACCTAAGTAAATTGTTTAATAAATCATAAGCCATAGCTGAACATAGATAGGCCATACTCATAAACTTTATAATAGAAGTATCACAGAAGCTTGAACCTCTAAAAATAGACTATGTTCACTACGCTACACTTGATGACCCCCGAAGATTAAGGTGAAATGCCTGTTATTGTACTTTGTTTCTTACCCTTTCAATCCCTACAAAAGGAAGCACAACTGCTTTATGGCAGAAAAACTAGTTAATTCTCTCTGTATCAAACTTACATGAATCATATTTGTCCAACATTTTAGATTTTCCATAGTGCTTTTCGAACAATTTGTAGTATTTCCAACTTTTATTTTTAGTTTTTTTGGCAATTTTGTATGTCTGAAAAATATTATGAGGATCAATAAAATTACAAGCATTACCATTTAAGTTTGTAAATAAACTTAGTAAGTCGATAGCATCATGATATCATGAATCGATCCAAGGATTGCAAACAGCAGACTGAGAAGAAGACAACAGGGCCAGAAAAACAGTTCTGCGTATATATCAAGTGACGCAAAAACTAAGTCAAAACCATGCCCAACTTATTAAAAGGAACACACTGTCTCGTACACATTAACTTATACAGTTCATCATCATCATTACAGCTCTTCACAAGTCCACTAAAGAACATAGGCCTCCCCCAAGGAATGCCACAAAGCAGTCCTGAGCCACCTCCATCCATCGACTGCCTGCATGACTTACCAGGTCGTCCTCCATCTAGTGGGGGGTTCACCTTACACTTCCGGTACGAGGCTGCCACTCGAGATCCTTCTTTCCCATCGGTTGTCGATTCTTCAAACTATATGGCCAGCCCATTGCCACTTCAGCTAACTAATCCGTTGGGCTATGTCGGTCACTCTAGTTCTGCAGCGGATATCCTCATTTCTCAATTTATAACCCAGAGAAACTCCGAGCATAGCTCTCTCCATAGCTCGCTGAGCGACCTTGAGTACCTCCTCATACGGCCAGCAGTGACGGACCACGTCTCAGATATGGATCTGACACGTTTAAACCGACATTTCATTTAAGACTTTTAATTTCAATTCGTGGCTTTATCTGCTCTAATAGCTATGGTTGGTGCTACGCCACAAGCCAACAAATTCCCATACTCAGACAGACTCAAGAAGTAAATTTTGACGGCTTCTAATAGTACAGGTAATTTTTTTTCTAGTTAGCTAGCTAGCTAGCTAGGAGTTAATCAATGGGTGCGTTTGGCAGAAAAAAGCGCTAGCAAGCGCTTGTAAGCAAAATGGCGATCGTAAGCGGTAAGCGCTGTCAAATCGTAAGTAGCTATTTTCGTCCAGGACACGATTGTTAGTTTTAACCGGGAGCGCTAACCTAATTTAAATATATGTTTGTAAAGTATTCATATTAAAAACTTACCAATATGAATTTTTAATAACATGTATACTGTTTATTCACGTTATTATATTACTTAAAACTAATATTGCACAAAACAACTTAAAAACTCTACTTCAAAACAAACAAATTAAATAAGCAAAATGGCGGATTGTGTCAGCGCTACTGAAGTAGTATCGTGTCCTGGCCGAAAACTATGGCAACACGCACTGCTTGTACAATCTTGTTTTTAGGTTTTGAGGTATTCCTGGCGAGATGTGTCATAATTTCCGGAACGCCGCCCAGCCGATTTTAATCCGTCGAGTGACCTTCTCGGTCAAGGATGGACTTACCTAGTCGAACTATTTGTCCCTGGTAAACATACTGGACACAACTTCGAGCTTAGTGCTCCCAACATCTACCGGCATAGCTGCGGCATGAACGTTACGCTTACGCATGATCTTTTTTTTGTCCAGACCTATCCGTTGGGAGGCACTATTGAGGTCATTGAGCATAGCGCTTAGGTCCTCCAGCGATTCTGCCATAAGGACTATATCGTCGGCAAATCGAAGGTGAGTGATGTACTTGCCATTGATAATGATACTGTACCCTTTCCAGATCAGAAGCCTGAAAACTTCTTCCAATGAAGCGGTGACCTCCACCTCTCTGCAAGTGAATTGGTTTCGTACTCTGGTTCAGTACTTGGATAGCTAAAGTAACCCTACTGTACAAACACTTCAACACTTCGATATACCGACAGTCAACTTGACACCGCTGAAGAGACTGCAGCACCGCCCAAATTTCGACGGAATCAAAGACTTTATCATAGTCAACATGCACAAAGCAGTGGCAAAATGTATTCCTCCGTCTTCTGTACATTTTGCCGAAGGTTATGTATGTAGTCTATAGCACTATAGCTTTTTCGCAATCCGGCTTATTCGGGAGGCTGGAAGTCGTCGAGTCTGCGTGCGAGACGATTCGTAATGACTTTCGAAAACAGCACGTAGACGCGGGTTAGAAGGGAAAACGGTCTGTAGTTCTTTAAGAGAGCGTTGTCGCCTTTCTTGACGAACAAGACCACCGCACTTCTGCTCCACGTCTCCAGAGTAGTGCCACCACGAAGGACGGAATTAAAGAGCTTCTGAAGGACTTCAAGTACTTCTGAAGAGCTTCTAAAAGCAGATTGAAAATCGTCAATCCGCTTTCAGAAGCTCCGCTGTAAATGCATCCTCGTCCGGGGACTTGCCGTTTTAAAAGTGCTGAAGAGCCATTCTAATCCCGCCCATACTGACGTACGGGATATCATCGAAATAGTGTCGGATAAGACTGTGCTCGCGGATCGTTCTTCATTTTTGCGTGGGGCTCCAACGATGATGTGTACAACTGCCTATAGAACCTCTCAATCTCACACAAAATCTCAGACGTCCCGGAAACGATACTGCAACATTCGGTCTACAGCTTCGACAGTTGGCTCTATCTAGTACACAGATCTCTGGGAAAGACTTTGTAGCCCTGGTTCCGCTCCATCTCTTCATCTATACGAGCTGTATTGAAGTTGCGTAAGTATTGCCGCCGCGTGCATTTGGAGATCTGTCTGTTAAGATGCCTGTTTGCTGTCAAATCTGCTGAAGACTGCAGCTTCATTTCCCGTCTATCAGCCATGAGATTTAGAGTGTGATCGGAGAGTTTTTGTGTTCTTTGCGGTGAGCCTTGCAGAACTTAGCTCCGACCGCACGAACAGTTTCCACGTGCTTGTCAATCATATCGTTCACTGCATTGTCTTCTTCTAGGCACTGAAAACGATTTTGTTACTCGAGTACAAAGTTCTCGGGTCTCTGGATTAGAGCACGAGAGGGACGGAGCGTTGACTTCATTAAACGTGACCTCTCCAACTTAACGTTTAGGTTCAGTACGCTTCTCACCATTCGAAGATCGCTGCCAGTTTTCACCCTCGCGATCACTGAGACATCACTGAACAGTTGCCGTTTCATCGTCATAATGATGTAAATCTCATTTTTTGTCTAACTGTCAGGGCTCGACCAGGTCCGCTTTCTGTTGGGCCTCTTCTGGAAGAAAGACTTTATAAAAAAGAGTTTTTCCTTTCTCCATGAAGTCGGCTAGCTACTGGCCCCTTTGGTTCCGTTGCCCTATACCAAATTTCCCTACCTTCAGCTCACCATTCTCTCTTGTGTAGTGGGTTTTGGAGGAATGCATGGCTCTAGATATATCCTCATATATTTCCACCACCTCCTCATCAGGATGTGTCGAGGTTGGTGCGTAAATATGTTTTCAAAAAATTGTGCGTATACCGTTTGGTGATTCTGAGTATAAGGTACGCAACCCTCGTCGACATACTCCCAATCTTTACAACGTTGTAAACAAGAGACTTGTAGCCGATAAATCCGACACATTCTTGGGAAAGATGGTCGCCCTCCCGGTGATGGAACAAGTTGCCGGATTTGAGGATAACCGTGTCCTCCCCCTCTCTTCGGACCTCGGAAAATCCTGTTATATTCAGAAGCAACTTATCCACCTTTTCTTACATTTGCAGGATCTTCTCGTCAGTCCTCAGGGTGCGTGCGTTGTACGTTGCCAGGTCGAATCGTCTTAGGTGGTAACTGAACCGGAGATTGTTAGCACCTCCTGCTCCGCCGTTACCATGGTCGTCACCGTAGCCAGGAATATTAGGGCCGCTGGGGACTGGAGGCCGTCTCTTCGTAACTTTCGTCATGGGGGGGTATATTGCCATTGCCATTGGGGTATTTATTTTTAGTCGTTTTTAGGAAGATGATGTCTCGTGATTTGATTCCCTTTTGTTTTCCCCTGTTGAATATCCATTACCGAGAAGAATTTTAACGTTTCATCCAATTGGTGTCGTAAGAGATGACAGGGAAAATTAAACAGGAAATGGGCAGCAGATGATAACAATGATCACAAACAACTCAAATTTATAAAACTGCCGCTACCAACCCGCCTACAAAGATGCAACTATGGCAAATATCCCCCCTACGAGAAAAGCTATTCAGCAGTAGACTTTTTGTAATCATTTATGTAAAATTAAATTTTGTAACTAAATAACAAATATGTATTTTAATTTATATTGTTTTTTTATTTATTTGTTTTTTTTTTTCTTAACAATACAGAATATAATACTTTTGATAGAATCAGGCGTTACTTTGCGGAAATCCATTATAATAAAAAATAAAAATATAAATTTCTTCGCAACCTTCCGCTAAACAAATACAATGATGTGTCTTACCTGGATTGAAGAGCACCTCCCGCCCTCCCACAATTGCATGCACTAACTCCGTCACCACTAGTCCCAGCACCACTACTCCCAACACCACTATTCCAGGCAAGACACACCATCGACGATAATACGACACGTGTTTCGCCTCTTCACGAGGCATCTTCAGGTAATGTAGACTCTACGGCGGCTGACCGCTAAGAGACTTGACTTAGCGGTGACGGAGTTAGTGCATGCAATTGTGGGAGGGCGGGAGGTGCTCTTCAATCCAGGTAAGACACATCATTGTATTTGTTTAGCGGAAGGTTGCGAAGAAATTTATATTTTTATTTTTTATTATAATACTTTTTCCAACTTACTTTTACTTTCTAGTATCACGAAATTAATAACTTTCAGATCACAACATTTGCTCATAGAATAAAACTGATTGTAGTCAAACTTTACAGTCTTGTATCAGACTTAAAAAGGCTTAAGAAAAAGAATGTAAAAACTCTTCTTCATCATCAAAATTGTAGCCCATCACAAGTCCACAAGGTTGCTCATAGACTACCAGTACCTTCTTTAATATAATACTTACATCGTATGTATATGACCACTTTTTCCTTACATGTTTCACAGTCATCTCTTCTGGGAATCCATTTTCAAGAAGTATTTTATGGAACTCCCTATATCAACAAAAAAAAAAGTATTAAAAATGAATAAGAACAATTCTATTACCTTTTATTTTTGCAAAAATGGACTTTAGGACATATGAAATATTTAATGTTGCGAAATATAGGGTAATATTAGTAAGTAATATCATCATTCATCGATACATACTTAAAAAATATTAACAGCAGTGGGCTAAACACAGGTCTTTTTCATAGATTGCTTCATAGGGGATATTTACCATAGTTGCAACACATTTTTTGTTGGCAGGTTTGGTAACCACAGTTTTGTATTAAGTTTTTATCAGGGATTAATATTATGGTGTAATGGATCATTTTTTGTCATAACTTCACAGCAAGTGGGAAGAGAATATTACTTTTAACTTTTAACCAGAAGATGCTTAAATATTTTACGTAGGCGGTCCCATAATGAATTGGTCTAACTATGAACCAATGAAGGAAATGAAACGAAACCAATTTTATTTTTCAATATAATCACCATGAATACTAACACACTTCTGACATCTGTGAATCAACATCTCTAAACCTTTATAAAAATAATCACATTTTTTATCCTCAAAATGACTGACAACGGCCGCCTGCAACTCTTCATCGCTTAAAAATTTTCTTCCTCTAAGTCCCGCTTTAAATTTGGAAATAAATAATAGTCGGACGGGGCCATGTCTGGAATGTAAGGTGGATGTTGAACTTCTGTGAACCCGCATTGACGAACTGCATCCTTCGAAACACCAGCGGTATGAACAGAGGCGTTGTCATGGAGCAACAGGACACCTTTAGACAGCTTGCCTCTTCGTTTTTCCTTTATCTTGTCTCGTAATTTATATATTAAAGAAGCATAATATTCGCCGTTCACGACTGTATTACGTTCTTTAAAATCCACCATCAAAATGCCTTGAAAATCCCAAAATATTGTGCACATCAGTTTTTTAGTCGATTGTTGCACCTTTGCCTTTCTAGGGGGCTTTTCACCCTTATAACGCCGTTCCATTGACTCGCGCTTGCTTTGTGGATCATAATACAAGATCATAGTTTCATCACCAGTCACTAGCCGCTCGATCACAGTCTTTGGATTTTCGCCACAAAGATCCAAAAACTCCGAAGCTGAAAGAAGTTTCGGTACCCATCTTGCACTCACTTTTTTCATGTGAAGATGTTCATGGATCGCGCGATGAACGGTACTCTTAGAGAGCCTCTTAGAGAGCTCTCTTAGAGAGCTTGCTGCAATTTCTATAATCTTCAAACGGCGGTCACTCAGAACCTCCTCTTCGATAAGATCAATCGTTTCGGGAATGAGCACTTCCACAGGTCGACCGTCGTGGCCAAAGTCTTCGACGGTTTCTCTCCCGAGGCGAAACTCTTTCACCCAATTTTTCACTGTGCTATAGGAGGGGGCAGACTCCTTATACACGCCATCCAATCGTTCTTTTATTTGGGCAGGGGATAAACCTTCTTTAATCAGAAACTTTATGACACTTCGATACTCAGTTTTCGACATTTAGAAAAAATACGCGACTCTCGTTATTCAAATGCCTGTTAAACTAAGACTAAGCATTTCATGTCGATGCATGTTTCTTATATTAAGTGCACGATAAACGTACTATTTAATGCAACACAACATGTAGCGACATGTCGCGTTGAACTATATCAGGCCAGTTCATTATGGGACCGCCTGGTATGCTTAATCTACGATGGGTGAATCAAATGTAATGATAATGAATATTAAACACTTAATAATTGAGTTGCTCAAAACTAATTTCTTGAATTGCAACCATCGCAACTGCGGCTTTGTGATCCGGATCCTGAGAGTCTTGGTAAAACAGCAGTCCAGCTCGCTGTTTGCCGCGTCTTTGTTCTTTAATAGACTCCCGCAATCTTTTTTTGGCCCGTTGGTAAAAGCCCGAAATAGTGGCTCCCTTTTCGAAATATTCCACCATAATTATTCCTTCAGAGTCCCAAAACACGACCGCCATGAACTTTCTCGCCGAACTTGACAATGACACTTTGAATTTCTTCGGCATCGGTGAAGAGGCTTGATTCTAAACCATTGATTGCTGTTTGGTTTCAGGATCAAAATGGATTCAGGTCTCATCAATGGTCACGAAACGTGACAAAAATTCCTGATTTGCTTGGAACCTTTCGAGATCAATGACCAAAAGAAGAATGAATCGACACTCGTTTTTTCTTTTGCTCGTCGGTTAACATTCTCGGTACCTAACGCGCAGAGACTTTTCATATGCAATTTGTCTGCAAGGATTCTTTGAACACTGCCATATGAGATCTCTGTGACTTCAGATATATGCCTGATGGTCATTCTTTGAACCCCTCTCTCTTTAGTCCCCCATTGTTTTCACCAAGTCTCTGTTTATGTCTTAGGTAGACATTTTTGTAAACAGAGGTTACTTGATGACAGCTCTAATTTCGTGTTTCTCTATTTTGATGTTATCTCTTCGATGATTCGTATTCAAATGAATCTACTTCTCGGGAATCGTAGCCAGTTTACATGATTTTTTATGGTGATCTAGTTGGTATATATGCAAGCAAAAATTTTTTTTGGATTTATATGTGCACTGGAAATAATCGATCATCATTACATTTGGATCAACCCTTGTATGTGTTAAATTTCATTAGTAAGTCCTGTCCAGTGCAGTGTTAAAAACTTCTAGTTATATAGTGTTAAAAAATTATGGTTAAATAAAATAAAATTCTTGTTGCCTTTTCTCTCGATATCTTCTCGAGCCAACAACTTTGTTGTTGTTGAAACTATTTAAAATATGTTGAAAACTATGTCAATAGTAAATAAACTGAGTATTTGAGTAAAATCGTAATATAACGTTCTTGGGCAACTACATTACATTGTATGTAGTTCTACTCGCACTCATCATGAGTCTGGAAAAGGGCAGCAACTGCGCATAGACATTTCCCATATTAGAGAGGATTTGGCCTAACAGCCATGCTTGATAAGCAGAATGCTGATCTTAGTATCCAATATTTCAGTCTAGGAATTTTATATCGCTAAGTATAATAATTACAAGACAGTTAATATATTTGAGGCCTCAAGACCCATACCTCCATAAAACCAAACACAATTTAAAATGAAATGATGTTATATAGGTAAATAATAATTTGAATAGTGGCAACTTTCTAACTTGTATACAATTACAACTATGTTTTGTTCTAAAAATAAAAAACAACATATTTTATATCAGATAAGCATGATTTTTTAATTCATTTCTCCAATATTTAATATTTTTTAAACATGCTGCATATATGTGGCACAATTGAACCTATTGTACCTTGTGTTATATTATAAATAGCTCTTAGTGGAATATTGAGTTATAATTTTTTTTCAATTAGTTACTCTTGTCACACCTTACTGGCTCATTTACAGTAATATGTAGTACTTAATAGAGAAAGAGCCCGTCAATGGGAAACCTCCCTTTATTTTATAAAAGCTGAAAAATGCTCAGCGCATGCTCTTAACACAGGTAGGCACGATGGACTATTACGAAGTTTGTATCATCATGACTTTGACAGATAACAGGTTACAAAGGTGTATAAAATAGCTACTTTAATTTTTCGGAGTATAAAGCGTAATTTTGTCATATTATCTTCGAAATAATATTAGAAGTCACGTCATCCGTTGCCACACATAGTATCATGGCAACCTCTTGCCAGACACCTTTAAACTTTAATAAATTGTAACTGTGTACTTATGTTATAGTATAAAAGCTGAATTTTATATGTGTTACTTGGGTAACCTATAAGATATTTCCTCAGTAGCCAGATAGTTTCGACAATTCTGGCACCTAGCCAGACAAACATATTATAGCGTAGCTGTAGTTGCGAGCGCAAGATAATATATATCTGAGTGGATGCAAGTGAGATAGTGAGTTAGGTCTTTTACGATGCTTTAGTGCGCATCCTTAATTTATTCAGACGCAGGCGCATCATTTATTTACACAGTATATGTTTTAGTATTTGCTTGTGCAGTTTATAAAATAATTGTTTCAATTTTGATTAAGTATCATCATGAAAAACGACGATGAAATAATTTGTTATTTGTAAAATTCTTTCACAGTTACCTCCATCTCTCTCTGGAACAAACTGCCTGCTGATCCATGAATAATTGCCAAAATGTATTTAAAAGAAAAATAAACAAACATATCAGTAACCTAAAAAGCTAAGTAACCTTACTATGTTTATTACAGCACTTATGTTTTAGTTATTTTTACAGGGTTATTTTTGAAAAAGTATCAGAGTTCAAATATATAAATAATGATATTTACAGTTTACAGTTTTGATTGCAGTTTTTGAAAATACGAGTAAATAAGGCTACTACTTTTGAAATTATCCCAAATTGAATGTGATATATGGGCAACAACATTTTCCGTTCCGACCGACCCTTACGAATGTGTGCATGCACAGTAAAATTAGTTAAGATAATGCATTACCACGCATTATGCGAATAACTAATTTAAAAGATAAAAAGGTCAGAATGTTTGAGATTTTTTTTCAATCAATTTTTTTTCGAAATTTGCCTATATTACTTATTCTGAATCTTTGCAAATTTGGCCTGTTATTGCAAAATAACCCTTTTAATTAATTTATTGAGATATATATGTATAAACATGTATATTTATTTCTATATGTGTGTCAATTATATACATTTAATATATACGTGTATATTTTATTTTATTATTTTTATAGAAGGGACAAGTGAGTGTGCGGCTCACCTGATGGTAAGTGTCGATCGTCGCCCATGATCAACTGCAAAATCAGGGAAATTGCAGGTGCGTTGCTGGCCTTTTAAAAGAGAGTAGGTAGGGAAATTATTATAATTATTTTACTTTTTCACTTGCAAACATTTGCTGAAAATAGACAGTTTGGGCGTGCTTTGTAACCTCATTCTCAAAACCTTTTTTGTGAATATATTATAGCGTCTTCCCTAATTTTTCTTATTCATTCATAAATAAAAATTAAAAAATCATAGAGAAAAAGTATTTGCTATACACTATTCGATAAGAAATATACTATTTTTATCAATTGAAACACAAAAAATGTATTATGTTGTAATTTAGATCATTCAAAAACATGATGATTTCTATGGGCCACAGCATCCACTTGCCCTTATCATCCTCATATATTTTAAAACTAAAAATAGTATATTTTATATCATCATAATGTATGCTTTAGGTTGGCACCTTAGCCACCCCAGCCGCACCTTAGCCTACTGTCAAAAATAATTAAGTCTGAAGAGACTGAAAAAATTTAAATCAATTTTGAGACTTCGAAAAATACACAACCACACAAAATAAAGACATTATTTTACCAAGTGAAAATACTAACAGTGATGCACTATCACAGGATATGTTATAAATCATTTAGAAGACTCATGAAAAAATATTTCACCTCTGAATGTAAATGTTCTAAAAACAAATCGTTAAAACAGAAAATGAAAAAGAAACAAAAAAAAAGCAAGTATACCAATAGATAATGAAGACATCAACTATAATGATGCAACAAATAAAATCCTTTAGCATGTCTAAGAATCTAGTAATAACCTTATAAATATATTTTTTCATAAAATGTTTTAATTTAAGTTTCAAATTTTAATAAAATGTTGAAATTTGTATGAAATTGAATTTTAAAATAAAGTTCATGACTTGAACAATGAAAAACTTTATTTACAATTTATAGGTTTATATTTCACTCAATTATCAAAATGAAATTATTCTCAATAATTTTTGAACATTATTTTCTTAGTTATAAATACATTAAAATTATCCGATCAATCCCAATAACTATCTCACTCAGATGTATATTGCCTCGCACCCACACCTACAGTACCCGGCGATAAATATTGCACATCGACCTTTGGAAAGAGACAATCGGATAATTTCGGCTTCGTAGAGCGTTGTCTCTGTCGGACGACTGATAAAACGTCACATAGGTAGTGTGCGACAGAGATAACGCTCTATGAAGCCGAAATTAGCCGATTGTCTCTTTCCAAAGGTCGATGTGCAATATTTATTGCCGTACCTGGCAATAAATATTGTACAGTTGCCCTATTATTATATTTGTCTGGCAAGGTGTTAGAACTGTCTTAACTGTGTGGCTACTGAGGAAACATCATAGGTATGGTTACAATTTATTAAAGTTTAAGGGTGTCTGGCAGGGGGTTACCACAATACTATGTTTCTGGAAACAGATGACATAATTTCTAATATTATTCCAAAGAAAATATGAGAAAATTAGGCTTTATATTTTGACAAACTTAAATTTCTATTTTATACATCTTTGCTACCTGTTACGATAATCCAAACATAGTAGCTCATTGTCCTTACCTATGTTGGGAGCATATGCTGAGCACCATTCAGCTTTCATAAAATGAGACAGATCTGGCATTCACAGGCTCTTAGTCTATATCCTAAAGCTGTGAGGGACCAGTGCTTGAGACAGATTATAGCTATAATTATAAAAAACTTGAGTTACAGGTACTAATACTTACTTCCAGGGTTGTTTCTTTTTCTTAAACAAACAATCATTTTCAAAACGTAACTCTACAAGCCTTTCACTCAGCTCTGAATTCCCTAAAATAAAATATATCATTGTAATTAACATATTAGGTACGATGTTTAATATAAAATTGTGTAAATGATACCTACAAACAAAAGTTTTATCTTCCATGATATTGTAATATTGATAAATTTAAACGTATTCGCAAAAAACATTAATTATTAATATATTAATATTATTTATTACTATGATTGATGTCAAAAGTTTGTTAAAAATTTAAATAAATATAACATTAAAGTGTTTATAACCAGTACTACATGCTTTTTTTATAACCACTACACACTACATACTTTTTAAATAAGAACAAAAACAAGGGAACAATTTGTGAATATGTATTCTGTGTTGTAAATATAAATTGTGATTTCTGACACCAACTAAACTACACTCTTATCTATGAATTAAACGTAGCCATTCTTTTTTTAACTGGCTTTACAGCTCTGGTTTCTAGCCTTTCTGAGCTTATTAGGCATGAGACTGATATATCAAAACGTAACCAATAAAGTTATGTTATCAAATATCATATCATATCGATAAACCTACGTACAAAACCGTTATCACTTATCCAACCAAAACCATATACCTAACCAACGTACGAAAAAGAAACCGAAACGCACAACGCAAACTGTGGAACGATCTCCCAAAACGGAAAACGGCCAACTAACCGATGACCTTTAATTATATTCGTCGCTTCTCGTTCTTGCAACAATCGCAGTTATCACACAACGGTGCATATTGCGAAATATAATATATACCTAAAGCAATAAGGTCGAATTTTAAATAGTTGAAATTGTCTAAATTTTAAGTTTGTGTAGTTGTGAAAGTTATCAAATTTTAAATGATCTTTAGCTCATTAGGCACAAGGCTTAGATTTGTAAAACGTAAAACGCAAGAACTGGAACGATATACCAACACGGCCCACGAACTAAACCGATGCGATGTCCTTTGTTGATATTCATTGTTTCTTGTTCTTGCGACGGTATCATAAATTCGTATAGAAAGAGAGGATTTCTGTTTTGGTAGTTTTAGTTTCACACAGGTACATTTAGGTACACAATGCATATCTGGATATAATTACCTAAAGCAAAAAGATAGAATTTCAAATGGTTAAAATTGTCTAAATTTTAAGTTTGCGTAGTTGTGAGAGTTGTCAAATTTAAATGATTTTTAGGACAATAGACATAAGATTTGCATTTTTATTTGTATGTTTTTTATATTTTGGAAGGAAAGTTTAGAATTTGCTTTTTTCTAAAACGCAACAATTACGCACTTGGTCTTGGTGGCTCGTGGTCGTGCCGTTCGCTAAGATAATAACATCCATTAAATTATTACTTTTTGACGTTGCGTTTGTGCATTTATTTGCAATATTTGTGTGTATTTGCTGCATTAGGTAGATTATTTTAAATAAACTAAATAATAAAATTTGACGTTTCCGTGGCACAGCAGCTTTGAATTACAACGCTAAATACCGCGGGTTCGAATGGCGCACAATACAAGTATTTTTATGGCTTTATTTGTATGGCTTACAAATAATTGTTCCGGTTCTGGATGTTCGTCCTTGTACAATTTATATATGTAAACTGCATACATGATACAGGAGAAAATCCTTGTGCCGCGGTTACGTTTTAAAAAAATAAGAAGAGGTTTTTTAGGTTTATGCCATCTAGCATCTGCTACTCTACGTACCACCTTAAGAGTCAATTAATGTTTGTTCGATAAAATATCTTTACCTATACAACATATTAGATGGCGCTATTACTGAAGTGTGCTCAGCTCAATCTTACTGAAATAAATACGTGTACCTTGGTAACCGTCTTAAACAAAATTAATATAAGATTAGTATTTGAACAAAAAAACCGTTGTAATCTTGTAATTTTACTACTATATACTTTATGGTATGTAATGCCCTGCGTTTGCGATTTGAATGATCGATTGAATGCCTGGTACGTACGTAGTGTTTACACCCACTACTTTTCATCATACAAAAAAGTTGCGGATCAGGATTTCAATCAAAGCCCTCCCGTAAAAAGTTTCAATTCAAAAAACTATAGTTGCCAACCTGCTTGCTAAGCGTGGCAACTATGGCAAATATCCCACCTATGATACAATCTATGAGGAGGTCTATATGTTCAGCAGTGGCCTTTAATAAGCTGTAACAGTAACGGTATAATTTATTACTGCATAACATTGAATATACAAAAATTATATATTAACATATATGTTTAAATATTACATCTAAGATAACAATAACATTAGAACCTCTGACTTCTAATCTAGATTAATCTATGTAATTCATAAATACATGTTGCACCGGTAGTACAGTTTGAGTTACGTTTCGATTGTCGTTTGCACATTCAGTAGCAAAACGTTACTATTGATATCGATATCCGAAAACGGTTTTCAATAACGATATGAAAACTAGATATCGCTTATGTAACCATTGCAGATAAAAACTGAAAACGCCCATGCTTAGAGCTTATTATATTCTCTTTGACACCACAGACCACAGAATACATACTATACCGTAGACAGAGAAATCTATAGACGAATTGACGCCTTCTTTCGTATTCGCACACGAAAAAGATTTGCATAGAAATGAGACAGAGCGGTGTGATTGTTTGTCCCTTTCTCCGGGCCGGTTTTTTTGTTCAGCAAACTACACTTTGCTAAACAACTTTGACAGTTCATAGCTATCTAAGCAGTTTACAAGTTGGTTTAAGTGAGAAAAAAAGTGTTTTGTGGGCTTAAGATTGTTGAATCTTGTTAACTTCAGTTCTTAGAACAATTAAAATTTGTATCTAAATATGTTTAAAAGTCATAAAGATTATTGTATAGCCTAAAACTACGTTATCGTCCTTTCTGACTCGAGGCCACGCTAATTATTAGTCTATAGGTTTCTCTGTCTACGGTTTACATACAACTCTATAATTTGTGGCTTGTTTGACTTTTTAACTGCTTTGCTATTTGCTATACTGGAATGTCAGCTGTGAGATTTTATACATATAAAACTACATTCTGTTTTGTAATATAATGTCGTCAGATAAGAAGTATTAGAAATGTTATTTTAAGTGTGAAACGGATGGTAAGTAATAGTGTAATTCAACTATCGCATTTGTAAAATAGTTTCACAATGCAGTAAATTAACTAAAATATTTCTTGTCAGGGTTACTCTCTAGTCTAAGTTTTAAAACAGTTAACGGTTCTTTTTTGTGTAGCCAAGTCTGCCATAAATTGTACTATACCACTTTGTTATAGTATGTGATGAAGGCAGACCAATTTCAAAACTTTTGATATTTCGCACATATCGTTAAGCTTTCGGTGAATAGTAATGTAAAGTTAAATCAAAACATCTTTCTGGGAAGTACTTAGCCCTAGGTAGATGTCACGTTTTATTTTTAAACAGCTGTCTACTTAAAGTTCAATTTGTTAAACTATTATATAGTGTAAAACTTTTTTGTTTTCCTAATTTATGAAATATTTTCCAGATAGATAATTTAATAACTCTTGAAAATCAACAACCTTTTTTAAATAGCGGTTTTGTGATTGAAGCCTAATAATAAAAACAAAAACTTGGTTAATACCGTCTAACACTATAAACTGATAGGACTTTTCTTTTCACAAATCTGATTTTTATAATAAGTTAACTAAACATCCTATTTCGATTTGTTAAATGTTTTAAATTTTATCCTGCATAATGTAAAATAAACCTGTAGCAAAATAATAAAATTATTTTCAATAATTCTAAGTTTTTTTCCGAAGATCATTTCTAAATACTTTAAAAAAGGAATTTCAAATAACACCTTGGTATTATTTATCTGTGTATTACTTATAATAAATAAAAACTTATGCAGACTATGGTGATTTGTTTATCGATAAAAATATCGACATAGTCCACGCCTTACGTTGCTTACGCATTTAGACAGCGCCATCAGTGTATCGACACGTGTACAATTTGATGGTATGCGTAACCGCGATGAACCCAAACACAAATGTTGTAGTGTGCGTTTATAGTGACGCGATTCAATTTTGCATGTGTAATTAAGTATACAGTTGCGTGTTTTTCATGCGCCCCCCGGATTTTGACAGAATTTTTGTTTAGGAATTAACGCGCATGGCCTCTCCAGTTGGTTGAATACTCAAAGACGTACACAGAACATCTCTAGTACATACACAGAACATCTTTATATATACAGTATACACAGTAATTGAGATAAGATTAGATAAGATAGAAGTTGGAAGCTTAGAAGATACCGTATAGCATGGAGGTTAGAGAACAGGAGAACGATCGCCGTAGAAAATAATGTCCCGGAAATATGGACACCATAAGTGAGGCACTGCGATCGCTAAGTTAGCTCAATAAAAGTAATTTATAGTCTATTTTTCCGATCAGATGCTAAACCACTTGCACACCCACGCATAATAAAATATTTCTCCATTTTTTTTAATGTTTCTTTTTGTCAAAAATTACAAAATTACGGAACATGAAAATTTTCTCACCAATGTCGCGAAGAAAATTTGTACATTATTCAACTAACTTCATCTACTTGTACTCATAATAATAAATAATAAATGAATAAATTTTATTTCATTTTAAAAAGTAAATGCCTTAAGAACTAGTAGATTGGAACCTCCATTTAAGCAAAAAAAATACCTGTGTTTGGAGGGTCCACCCTTCCATTACTATATTCGTGTTACATGGCAGTATGGGTAAACATATGGGACATAACAAATTGGGACAATCAAACGATAGGAACTAGTCTACTTATAAATACTGTACGGTATATGAGTGAAAGTTTATTTATTTATGTAAGTATACGCATGTGTGTGTGTGTGTGTGTGTGTGTGTGTGTGTGTGTGTGTCTGTGTTTGAATGAATTAAAATGAGTGTGTGTGATTAGAGTGTCTGAATCTGTACAAATATCTAATCTAATCTGTACATATAACACGATCCAGAAGTTTCTCATTTTCGTCATATGTCTTATGTTGAATCCATTTTAACAAAAGTTTTTTACAGTTATGATATGTTTTGTCATATATATATATATATATATATATATATATATATCTTCTTTATTTATTTTATTATAAAGAAAGGTAGAACGCGATATGTATTG